TTTCTGTAGTCCAGGTGTGGTTTCTATAGTCCAGGTGTGGTTTCTATAGGAGGAAAGACAAAAAACATGTTAAGATATAAATAATTCCAAACATGGAGAGTAGAGCAAAGACAACAGAGAGGACATGTGGTCAGGTTGTCCTCCGGCAGTCTAAGACTATAGCAGCAGAACTAAGGGACATCTCAGGAAGGCCAAGCCGACCCTAACTAGGAGGGTCGATAGGACTTTTGATAGGATTAATCAATTAATAATTGATTTAGCAAAGTTTGGTTTTAAAGTTTTTTAGAGTTTTTTAATCACATTTTTATTTTGTTTTATAAGCCAGATGTCAAAGACAAGTGTCCATTTCATTGAATGTTATGGACAATAAAGATGAATTGATTGATTGATTGATTTATCAAAAATGAAAGTCTTAATCTGGACAATGTGTCAGCCTCATGGACAGAAACTGGACGTTGGTTCCACAAGAGAGGAGCCTGAGAACTGGAAGATCTTCCTCCCATTCTGCTGCTGGAAACTCTAGGAACCACAAGTAAACCTGCAGTCTGAGAGTGAAGTGCTCTGTTAGTAAAATATGGAACAATAAGATCTGTAATATAAGATGGAGCTAGGTTGTTGAGAGCTTTGTAGGTTAGAAGTAAGATTTTGAATTCTATTCTGGATTTGACAGGGAGCCAATGGAGAGAAGCTAAAACTGGAGAGACATGATCTCTCCCAGTAACTCCAGTTAAGACTCTGGCAGCAGCATGTTGGATCAACTGAAGACGTTTTAAAGAAGTATTTGGACACCCAGATAATAAACCATTGCTATAGTCCAGTCTAGACGTGACAAATGATGGACCAGTTCTTCTGCATCATCTTTAGATCACATGTTTCTAATGTTAGTGATCCAGTAGCTCCTCGATTATCGTGGCCGTTACGTTCCACACAACACCGCGATCAATGAGAAACTGCGAAGTAGGAACGCTGTTGATCTGGGTAGTGTAGTTCTTTGACTTGCGTTACTGTCATTGGTGTCAGAAGCATCTGCACACACACACACACGCACACACACACCACCAGTGTACAAAAAGCAACATTTCTTCTAGATGTCCTGCCTTTAATTGCATTTAAAACATGTTTGTCACCAAGTTTGTGTAAATTCAGCTGTGGGTTTTAAAGACATTTAAACTTTAATACACTTTAATTCAGGTCGACACTGTTTGTGTTTATAGAGAAATTAAATGAAAAAATATACTACTGGACTTTTTTACTTGTGTTTTAGACCACAACCAAATGACTGAAAAAAGATTGAGATCCACCTGTCTGTCTCTCTGTCCCCCTGTTTCTCTGTCCACCTGTCT